CGTGGTTTTCACCCACGCGGCCCGGGTTCGATTCCCGGCATGGGAAGATGCATTTATAGAATTTAGTTCGTAGACTCCTTATTTTTTTTCCGAATGCAGGAATAACTATTTTTTAGGAAATTAAGTCATTAGACACGTCTAACCTAAAGCTGAGAATTAAGTAGATGGCTTGTGTTCTAACAGTTAAGCTTGATTGATAGGGAAATGTGGCAGTGCACGGGCTCATTCCGGATCCCGTATGTCCCATGTGGTCTAGTGGTTAGGATTCGTGGTTTTCACCCACGCGGCCCGGGTTCGATTCCCGGCATGGGAAGATACATTTTATAGGATTTAGTTCGTAGACTCCTTATTTTTTCCGAATGCAGGAATAACTATTTTTTAGAAAATTAAGTCATTAGACACGTCTAACCTAAAGCTGAGAATTAAGTAGATGGCTTGTGTTCTAACAGTTAAGCTTGATTGATAGGGAAATGTGGCAGTGCACGGGCTCATTCCGGATCCCGTAGGTCCCATGTGGTCTAGTGGTTAGGATTCGTGGTTTTCACCCACGCGGCCCGGGTTCGATTCCCGGCATGGGAAGATACATTTTATAGAATTTAGTTCGTAGTCTCCTCATTTTTTTTCCGAATGCACGAATAACTATTTTTTAGAAAATTAAGTCATTAGACACGTCTAACCTAAAGCTGAGAATTAAGAAGATGACTTGTGTTCTAACAGTTAAGCTTGATTGATAGGGAAATGTGGCAGTGAACGGGCTCTTTCCAGATCCCGTATGTCCCATGTGGTCTAGTGGTTAGGATTCGTGGTTTTCACCCACGCGGCCCGGGTTCGATTCCCGGCATGGGAAGATACATTTTATAGGATTTAGTTCGTAGTCTCCTCATTTTTTTTCCGAATGCACGAATAACTATTTTTTAGAAAATTAAGTCATTAGACACGTCTAACCTAAAGCTGAGAATTAAGAAGATGACTTGTGTTCTAACAGTTAAGCTTGATTGATAGGGAAATGTGGCAGTGCACGGGCTCTTTCCGGATTCCGTGGGTCCCATGTGGTCTAGTGGTTAGGATTCGTGGTTTTCACCCACGCGGCCCGGGTTCGATTCCCGGCATGGGAAGATACATTTTATAGAATTTAGTTCGTAGACTCCTTATTTTTTGTAGATGGCTTGCGTTCTAACAGTCAAGCTTGATTGATAGGGAAATGTGGCAGTGCACGGGCTCTTTCCAGATCCCGTATGTCCCATGTGGTCTAGTGGTTAGGATTCGTGGTTTTCACCCACGCGGCCAGGGTTCGATTCCCGGCATGGGAAGATACATTTATAGATTTAGTTCGTAGACTCCTTATTTTTTTCCGAATGCAGGAATAACTATTTTTTAGGGAATTATGTCATTAGACACGTCTAACCTAAAGCTGAGAATTAAGTAGATGGCTTGTGTTCTAACAGTTAAGCTTGATTGATAGGGAAATGTGGCAGTGCACGGGCTCATTCCGGATCCCGTAGGTCCCATGTGGTCTAGTGGTTAGGATTCGTGGTTTTCACCCACGCGGCCCGGGTTCGATTCCCGGCATGGGAAGATACATTTTATAGGATTTAGTTCGTAGACTCCTTATTTTTTTCCGAATGCAGGAATAACTATTTTTTAGAAAATTAAGTCATTAGACACGTCTAACCTAAAGCTGAGAATTAAGTAGATGGCTTGTGTTCTAACATTTAATCTTGATTGATAGGGAAATGTGGCAGTGCACGGGCTCATTCCGGATCCCGTAGGTCCCATGTGGTCTAGTGGTTAGGATTCGTGGTTTTCACCCACGCGGCCCGGGTTCGATTCCCGGCATGGGAAGATACATTTTATAGGATTTAGTTCGTAGTCTCCTCATTTTTTTTTCCGAATGCACGAATAACTATTTTTTAGAAAATTAAGTCATTAGACACGTCTAACCTAAAGCTGAGAATTAAGAAGATGACTTGTGTTCTAACAGTTAAGCTTGATTGATAGGGAAATGTGGCAGTGAACGGGCTCTTTCCAGATCCCGTATGTCCCATGTGGTCTAGTGGTTAGGATTCGTGGTTTTCACCCACGCGGCCCGGGTTCGATTCCCGGCATGGGAAGATACATTTTATAGGATTTAGTTCGTAGTCTCCTCATTTTTTTTTCCGAATGCACGAATAACTATTTTTTAGAAAATTAAGTCATTAGACACGTCTAACCTAAAGCTGAGAATTAAGAAGATGACTTGTGTTCTAACAGTTAAGCTTGATTGATAGGGAAATGTGGCAGTGCACGGGCTCTTTCCGGATCCCGTATGTCCCATGTGGTCTAGTGGTTAGGATTCGTGGTTTTCACCCACGCGGCCCGGGTTCGATTCCCGGCATGGGAAGATACATTTATAGATTTAGTTCGTAGTCTCCTTTTTTTTTCCGAATGCACGAATAACTATTTTTAGAAATTAGTCATTAGACACGTCTAACCTAAAGCTGAGAATTAAGTAGATGGCTTGTGTTCTAACAGTTAATCTTGATTGATAGGGAAATGTGGCAGTGCACGGGCTCATTCCGGATCCCGTAGGTCCCATGTGGTCTAGTGGTTAGGATTCGTGGTTTTCACCCACGCGGCCCGGGTTCGATTCCCGGCATGGGAAGATACATTTTATAGGATTTAGTTCGTAGACTCCTTATTTTTTTCCGAATGCAGGAATAACTATTTTTTAGAAAATAAGTCATTAGACACGTCTAACCTAAAGCTGAGAATTAAGTAGATGGCTTGTGTTCTAACAGTTAATCTTGATTGATAGGGAAATGTGGCAGTGCACGGGCTCATTCCGGATCCCGTAGGTCCCATGTGGTCTAGTGGTTAGGATTCGTGGTTTTCACCCACGCGGCCCGGGTTCGATTCCCGGCATGGGAAGATACATTTTATAGAATTTAGTTCGTAGTCTCCTCATTTTTTTTCCGAATGCACGAATAACTATTTTTAGAAATTAAGTCATTAGACACGTCTAACCTAAAGCTGAGAATTAAGAAGATGACTTGTGTTCTAACAGTTAAGCTTGATTGATAGGGAAATGTGGCAGTGCACGGGCTCTTTCCGGATCCCGTATGTCCCATGTGGTCTAGTGGTTAGGATTCGTGGTTTTCACCCACGCGGCCCGGGTTCGATTCCCGGCATGGGAAGATACATTTTATAGGATTTAGTTCGTAGACTCCTCATTTTTTTTCCGAATGCACGAATAACTATTTTTTAGAAAATTAAGTCATTAGACACGTCTAACCTAAAGCTGAGAATTAAGAGATGCTTGTGTTCTAACAGTTAAGCTTGATTGATAGGGAAATGTGGCAGTGCACGGGCTCTTTCCGGATCCCGTATGTCCCATGTGGTCTAGTGGTTAGGATTCGTGGTTTTCACCCACGCGGCCCGGGTTCGATTCCCGGCATGGGAAGATACATTTTATAGGATTTAGTTCGTAGTCTCCTCATTTTTTTTCCGAATGCACGAATAACTATTTTTAGAAAATAAGTCATTAGACACGTCTACCTAAGCTGAGAATTAAGAGATGCTTGTGTTCTAACAGTTAAGCTTGATTGATAGGGAAATGTGGCAGTGCACGGGCTCTTTCCGGATCCCGTATGTCCCATGTGGTCTAGTGGTTAGGATTCGTGGTTTTCACCCACGCGGCCCGGGTTCGATTCCCGGCATGGGAAGATACATTTTATAGGATTTAGTTCGTAGCTCCTATTTTTTTCCGAATGCACGAATAACTATTTTTTAGAATAGTCATTAGACACGTTACCTAAAGTGAGAATAAGAGATGCTTGTGTTCTAACAGTCAAGCTTGATTGATAGGGAAATGTGGCAGTGCACGGGCTCTTTCCGGATCCCGTATGTCCCATGTGGTCTAGTGGTTAGGATTCGTGGTTTTCACCCACGCGGCCCGGGTTCGATTCCCGGCATGGGAAGATACATTTTATAGAATTTAGTTCGTAGACTCCTTATTTTTTGTAGATGGCTTGCGTTCTAACAGTCAAGCTTGATTGATAGGGAAATGTGGCAGTGCACGGGCTCTTTCCGGATCCCGTATGTCCCATGTGGTCTAGTGGTTAGGATTCGTGGTTTTCACCCACGCGGCCCGGGTTCGATTCCCGGCATGGGAAGATCACATTTATAGGATTTAGTTCGTAGACTCCTTATTTTTTTCCGAATGCAGGAATAACTATTTTTTAGAAAATTAAGTCATTAGACACGTCTAACCTAAAGCTGAGAATTAAGTAGATGGCTTGTGTTCTAACAGTTAAGCTTGATTGATAGGGAAATGTGGCAGTGCACGGGCTCATTCCGGATACCGTATGTCCCATGTGGTCTAGTGGTTAGGATTCGTGGTTTTCACCCACGCGGCCCGGGTTCGATTCCCGGCATGGGAAGATACATTTTATAGGATTTAGTTCGTAGTCTCCTCATTTTTTTTCCGAATGCACGAATAACTATTTTTAGAAAATTAAGTCATTAGACACGTCTAACCTAAAGCTGAGAATTAAGTAGATGCTTGTGTTCTAACAGTTAAGCTTGATTGATAGGGAAATGTGGCAGTGCACGGGCTCATTCCGGATCCCGTAGGTCCCATGTGGTCTAGTGGTTAGGATTCGTGGTTTTCACCCACGCGGCCCGGGTTCGATTCCCGGCATGGGAAGATACATTTTATAGAATTTAGTTCGTAGACTCCTTATTTTTTGTAGATGGCTTGCGTTCTAACAGTCAAGCTTGATTGATAGGGAAATGTGGCAGTGCACGGGCTCTTTCCGGATCCCGTATGTCCCATGTGGTCTAGTGGTTAGGATTCGTGGTTTTCACCCACGCGGCCCGGGTTCGATTCCCGGCATGGGAAGATACATTTTATAGATTTAGTTCGTAGACTCCTTATTTTTTGTAGATGGCTTGCGTTCTAACAGTCAAGCTTGATTGATAGGGAAATGTGGCAGTGCACGGGCTCTTTCCGGATCCCGTATGTCCATGTGGTCTAGTGGTTAGGATTCGTGGTTTTCACCCACGCGGCCCGGGTTCGATTCCCGGCATGGGAAGATACATTTTATAGATTTAGTTCGTAGACTCCTTATTTTTTTCCGAATGCAGAATAACTATTTTTTAGAAAATTAAGTCATTAGACACGTCTAACCTAAAGCTGAGAATTAAGTAGATGGCTTGTGTTCTAACATTAAGCTTGATTGATAGGGAAATGTGGCAGTGCACGGGCTCATTCCGGATCCCGTGTGTCCCATGTGGTCTAGTGGTTAGGATTCGTGGTTTTCACCCACGCGGCCCGGGTTCGATTCCCGGCATGGGAAGATACATTTTATAGAATTTAGTTCGTAGACTCCTTATTTTTTGTCAGATGAGCTTGCTGTTCTAACAGTTAAGCTTGATTGATAGGGAAATGTGGCAGTGCACGGGCTCTTTCCGGATCCCGTAGGTCCCATGTGGTCTAGTGGTTAGGATTCGTGGTTTTCACCCACGCGGCCCGGGTTCGATTCCCGGCATGGGAAGATACATTTTATAGAATTTAGTTCGTAGACTCCTTATTTTTTGTAGATGGCTTGCGTTCTAACAGTCAAGCTTGATTGATAGGGAAATGTGGCAGTGCACGGGCTCTTTCCGGATCCCGTATGTCCCATGTGGTCTAGTGGTTAGGATTCGTGGTTTTCACCCACGCGGCCCGGGTTCGATTCCCGGCATGGGAAGATACATTTTATAGGATTTAGTTCGTAGACTCCTTATTTTTTTTCCGAATGCAGGAATAACTATTTTTTAGAAAATTAAGTCATTAGACACGTCTAACCTAAAGCTGAGAATTAAGAAGATGACTTGTGTTCTAACAGTTAAGCTTGATTGATAGGGAAATGTGGCAGTGCACGGGCTCTTTCCGGATCCCGTGGGTCCCATGTGGTCTAGTGGTTAGGATTCGTGGTTTTCACCCACGCGGCCCGGGTTCGATTCCCGGCATGGGAAGATACATTTTATAGAATTTAGTTCGTAGACTCCTTATTTTTTGTAGATGGCTTGCGTTCTAACAGTCAAGCTTGATTGATAGGGAAATGTGGCAGTGCACGGGCTCTTTCCGGATCCCGTATGTCCCATGTGGTCTAGTGGTTAGGATTCGTGGTTTTCACCCACGCGGCCCGGGTTCGATTCCCGGCATGGGAAGATACATTTTATAGGATTTAGTTCGTAGTCTCCTCATTTTTTTTCCGAATGCACGAATAACTATTTTTTAGAAAATTAAGTCATTAGACACGTCTAACCTAAAGCTTGAGAATTAAGAAGATGACTTGTGTTCTAACAGTTAAGCTTGATTGATAGGGAAATGTGGCAGTGCACGGGCTCTTTCCGGATTCCGTGGGTCCCATGTGGTCTAGTGGTTAGGATTCGTGGTTTTCACCCACGCGGCCCGGGTTCGATTCCCGGCATGGGAAGATACATTTTATAGGATTTAGTTCGTAGACTCCTTATTTTTTTCCGAATGCAGGAATAACTATTTTTTAGAAAATTAAGTCATTAGACACGTCTAACCTAAAGCTGAGAATTAAGTAGATGGCTTGTGTTCTAACAGTTAAGCTTGATTGATAGGGAAATGTGGCAGTGCACGGGCTCATTCCGGATCCGTAGGTCCCATGTGGTCTAGTGGTTAGGATTCGTGGTTTTCACCCACGCGGCCCGGGTTCGATTCCCGGCATGGGAAGATACATTTTATAGGATTTAGTTCGTAGACTCCTTATTTTTTTCCGAATGCAGGAATAACTATTTTTTAGAAAATTAAGTCATGAGACACGTTTAACCTAAAGCTGAGAATTAAGTAGATGGCTTGTGTTCTAACAGTTAAGCTTGATTGATAGGGAAATGTGGCAGTGCACGGGCTCATTCCGGATCCCGTATGTCCCATGTGGTCTAGTGGTTAGGATTCGTGGTTTTCACCCACGCGGCCCGGGTTCGATTCCCGGCATGGGAAGATCCATTTTATAGGATTTAGTTCGTAGACTCCTTATTTTTTTCCGAATGCAGGAATAACTATTTTTTAGAAAATTAAGTCATTAGACACGTCTAACCTAAAGCTGAGAATTAAGTAGATGGCTTGTGTTCTAACAGTTAAGCTTGATTGATAGGGAAATGTGGCAGTGCACGGGCTCATTCCGGATCCCGTGTGTCCCATGTGGTCTAGTGGTTAGGATTCGTGGTTTTCACCCACGCGGCCCGGGTTCGATTCCCGGCATGGGAAGACACATTTTATAGAATTTAGTTCGTAGACTCCTTATTTTTTGTAGATGGCTTGCGTTCTAACAGTCAAGCTTGATTGATAGGGAAATGTGGCAGTGCACGGGCTCTTTCCGGACCCCGTATGTCGCATGTGGTCTAGTGGTTAGGATTCGTGGTTTTCACCCACGCTGCCCGGGTTCGATTCCCGGCATGGGAAGACATATTTTTATAGAATTTAGTTCGTAGACTCCTTATTTTTTGTAGATGGCTTGCATTCTAACAGTCAAGCTTGATTGATAGGGAAATGTGGCAGTGCACGGGCTCTTTCCGGGTCCCGGGGTCCCATGTGGTCTAGTGGTTAGGATTCGTGGTTTTCACCCACGCGGCCCGGGTTCGATTCCCGCATGGGAAGATACATTTATAGGATTTAGTTCGTAGACTCCTTATTTTTTTCCGAATGCAGGAATAACTATTTTTTAGAAAATTAAGTCATTAGACACGTCTAACCTAAAGCTGAGAATTAAGTAGATGGCTTGTGTTCGAACAGTCACGCTTGATTGATAGGGAAATGTGGCAGTGCACTGGGCTCATTCCGGATCCCTTATGTCCCATGTGGTCTAGGTGTAGGATTCGTGGTTTTCACCCACGCGGCCCGCGTTCGATTCCCGGCATGGGAAGATACCTCTTATAGAATTTAGATCGTAGACTCCTCAGTTTTTTGTAGATGGCTTGCGTTTCTAGCAGTCAAGCTGTGATTTGATAGGGAAATGTGGCAGTGCACGGGCTCTTCCGGATCCCGTATGTCGCCATGTGGTCTAGAGGTTAGGATTCGTGGTTTTCACCCACGCGGCCCGGGTTCGATTCCCAGCATGGGAAGACACATTTTATAGGATTTAGTTCGTAGACTCCTTTTTTTTCCGAATGCAGGAATAACTATTTTTTAGAAAATTACGTCATTAGACACGTTTAACCTAAAGCTGAGAATTAAGTAGATGGCTTGTGTTCTAACAGTTAAGCTTGATTGATAGGGAAATGTGGCAGTGCACGGGCTCTTTCCGGGTCCCGGTGGTCCCATGTGGTCTAGTGGTTAGGATTCGTGGTTTTCACCCACGCGGCCCGGGTTCGATTCCCGGCATGGGAAGACACATTTTATAGAATTTAGTTCGTAGACTCCTTATTTTTTGTAGATGGCTTGCGTTCTAACAGTCAAGCTTGATTGATAGGGAAATGTGGCAGTGCACGGGCTCTTTCCGGACCCCGTATGTCGCATGTGGTCTAGTGGTTAGGATTCGTGGTTTTCACCCACGCGGCCCGGGTTCGATTCCCGGCATGGGAAGACATATTTTATAGAATTTAGTTCGTAGACTCCTTATTTTTTGTAGATGGCTTGCATTCTAACAGTCAAGCTTAATTGATAGGGAAATGTGGCAGTGCACGGGCTCTTTCCGGACCCCGTATGTCGCATGTGGTCTAGTGGTTAGGATTCGTGGTTTTCACCCACGCGGCCCGGGTTCGATTCCCGGCATGGGAAGATACATTTTATAGGATTTAGTTCGTAGACTCCTTATTTTTTTCCGAATGCAGGAATAACTATTTTTTAGGAAATTATGTCATTAGACACGTCTAACCTAAAGCTGAGAATTAAGTAGATGGCTTGTGTTCTAACAGTTAAGCTTGATTGATAGGGAAATGTGGCAGTGCACGGGCTCTTCCGGATCCCGTATGTCCCATGTGGTCAGTGGTTAGGATTCGTGGTTTTCACCCACGCGGCCCGGGTTCGATTCCCGGCATGGGAAGATACATTTTATAGAATTTAGTTCGTAGACTCCTTATTTTTTTCCGAATGCAGGAATAACTATTTTTTAGGAAATTATGTCATTAGACACGTTTAACCTAAAGCTGAGAATTAAGTAGATGGCTTGCGTTCTACAGTCAAGCTTGATTGATAGGGAAATGTGGCAGTGCACGGGCTCTTTCCGGATCCCGTATGTCCCATGTGGTCTAGTGGTTAGGATTCGTGGTTTTCACCCGCGCGGCCTGGGTTGGATTCCCGGCATGGGAAGACACATTTTATAAGATTTATTCGTAGTCTCCTTCCACGGACCTCCCTCTTTGAGGGATCCCGCCCGGTTAGTCTCGAGGGCACGTGGCGCGTCCCCAGGTGGTGGATAGGGGAATAAAACACGAACCGAAAGCGACCGTGTGCTTCCCAGAGACGCAGGTGGATTCAGGGGACGAGCTCCCTGCTTCTGCAGTGCCGACTTGACAAAACTCTATTTCTACGAGTCAAGTCGGCCAAAAGCCTGCAATCAAGCGGCTGGGAAGTACATGGAAGGCGGTTAGTGAGTCGCCTCCAACAAATAAGCTCCTCCCGCTCCTCCGAGAGAGACTGGCAAGCTACTCGTGAGTACCCAGCCCCCACGTTTAGACCCTGGCAAGCTACACGTTGGGTATCAAAATTGCCAAAAACAGTAACAAATATGGGCCTCATTCCCATGACCCCGAAAGAGCCCCTGGTACGGCAGCGCCAGTAGGACGAGTACGGAGAGGCTGCTAAAATCTCAGGGCCGAACTAGGCTGCCAAGATCGAAACGGACTAAAATGACGATCTGTACCTACAACGCAAGAACCCTTGCTCACGAATCCGCAGTAGAAGATCTATTGATTGAAGCAAGAAGAATAAGGTGCGACGTCATTGGCTTGGCTGAGACGAGAAGACGCCATCCTTTTCACCCTGTCTATGACACCGGAGAAGAACTGTTCCTTGGAACATGCGATCGCAGAGGTGTCGGTGGCGTTGGCGTCCTCGTCAAATCGAATTTGACCGTGAAGATTGATT